AAGATAGTCCTCAGAAGACAATCAGTAACGTTAATCTGACATGTATATCTTGAACTTGTTAAATGGGTAGGCATGAACAATATTAACTTATTTGTTTCTTATTTTACCACAAATGCATAAACATCTCCTGATGATCTGATACTAGTCCATGGATTCGTGTTTGGGAATTTCCAGTGTACAATTCTTATGAGGACTTCAGTTACAAAGGAAAGTGAAGTTAGCAACAGGATCCAGGGGAGAATATTTTTTTTCCTTAACATAGAAGAGACATGAGTATGCTTAAATGCTAATATCAAGAAGCCAATAGAGAAGAAGAGGTTGAAGATGCAAGGGAGAGAAGGCATAATTTATAGCATGGTATCCCTGAAAAGGAAATAGCGGTGAGAACCCAAAAGACAAGTGGAGAGACTGGACTTAAACAGGAGGGACAACTTCTCCAATATAACAGGAGAGAAGTACAAAGAATGGTGATAGGTATAGACCCACATGTAGATTTGGTACAGAGAACTGAGGTAGTTCCCTTCTGAAATTTATATTTTCTCCATGAAGAAGAAAAGGTAATCTAAAAGTAATGGAAGAAATAGTAGATGATCAAAGTTTTGAGATGAGGTTTAAAAGAGTTAAGGGAGACATAAAGTGCATGAGAATCACAGGTTTGCTATATAGTACTGAGATCCCAGTAGATTTATTTGTTTTGAATTTATAATGATACCTAATCTGTAGAGCAGAACTCAGCAGCCAAGGCAGGTATGTAGAAGATATGCATAATTGTATTCATCCAGGGTTGGGGTTTTACAGGATGGGCAATGAAAGGACAAAAAGCAAGAACATTTAATATATTGGCAAACGTCTGTTTGAAATGATGGACCGTGGCATCGAAGCTAGAGAGGGGCAGATAGCAGGAAAACAGGAGGTCGATGTATAGGAAGAAAGCAGATAGGATGGTGAAAGCAGAAAAACCTATCAAGGAAGAGGTATAGTTGAGTGAACAATCTAGAAAACTAGGAGGTCAACCTAGACCCTAAATATAGCTGTTCATGTATAAGATAGGTGTCTTCCATTGTAGTTCTTCCTTTTTATAGAATATTTTAAATCAGAACTATATGACTTACAGAAGGTGCTGCAATCTGGCCTGGGAATTTAGTGCAGTGGTTATGTGTACATGCCTTGGAATCAGAAATCTAAGCATAGTCACTTAACCTAAGCCTCAAATTTCTCAACCACAAGATGGGGATTATAATAGCATGTAATTCATATTCATATGGAAAAATGCATATTGATTTCCAAACACCGGACTTAAAAACTTTTGGAAACAATCCATTTGTAATTTGGTGATAACTTATGTTATTTTAGACACAATTTGGTATATGATGTTAATGCAGTTCTTTTAGTTATTTTATTTATTCAACAAATATCTATTTGTCAATGAGTACTATTATGTGCCAGACATTGTTTTAGGTGCTGAGACTAATGGGTAAATAAAACAAAACCCCTGCTCTCATAGAGCTTACATTCTGGTCAGGAGACAGATGCTAAACAAATAAAAAAGTAAATAGGTATTAAGCCAGATGGTGATGATGTTTCAAGTCAGGTCAAGTGGGGAAAGGAGGACAAGGAGTACATGTAGAGACTTAGACTATATATGATGCTGTAGGAAGGCCTTCCAAATAAGGGGCTATCTGAGCCTTTGTGTAAGCCATATAGATATCTAGGAAAGAACATTCCAGGGAGAGGGAACAGTAAGTACGAAGTTCCTCAGATGGGACATATGTGACTTATCTGAAGTCCAATCTGGAAGGCCAGTGTGGCTGAAGCACCATGAGAAAATGTGAAGCTGGTGGGATATGAGATCAGAGAAGCAGCAGGAAGTTAGACAGATCATAAGTGCCCTAAGAGCCTACGGTAAAAACATTGGCTTCATTCTGAATAAGGTGGGAAGTCACTGGAGGATTTTCAGGAGAGGAGTGACATGACCTGATTTATGTGGAGATTAAATGGGTGATGGGACAAAACAGGGATACCAATTACAAGGTTATTGCAACAATCCAGATTACAGTAACTTGGACCAAGGCAGAAGAAGAAGTGATGAAAAGTGGTTGGATTCTGCATACAATATATTTTGAAGGTAGAGCCAATAGGACTTGCTGGCTTGCTGGGTGTGTGGTAAGAAAGAGAAGAGTCAAAGGTAACTAAGATGTTTGGCATAAGCAAACTAGAAAATGGAACTGCCATTTACTGAGATAGGGATGATTAGGGATGATTGAGAAAGAGACAGTGTGGTTCGGGGCAGACAGAAAAGAGTTCATTTTTAGTCATGCTAAATTTAAGATGCCTATTAGCTATCCAAAGTAGATGATGTTGAGAAGGCAGCTAGATATGAGAGTCTGGGTTCAAGGGACAGGTCTGAGCTAGTGACATAAATTTGAGAGGCATCAATATAGAAAAGGCATTAAAGTCATGAGATTGGATGACATCATATAAGGCGTGAGCATAGGTAAAGAAAAAAAAAGACATCTGAGGGGCCGGCAGAGTGGCGCGATGGTTAAGAACTCGCTTGGGATGCCAGAGGGCCCCGGTTCGGATCCCACATACGAGGGCCAGTGACACTGCCCTCTACAACTAAGATGCTGAACAACAGCTCTTCCTGGAGCTGGGCTGCTGTGAGTCGCTGGCGACGGCGTAGGCTGCAGCCCCTGTGGCAGTGGGTTGCCATGGGTACCGTATGTAGCCAGCAGCCAGCGTGAGTGGCCGTCCAGAAGCCGGCGACTGATCTGCCTTGCCAGGGAAGAGCGCAATGATGGTGCCAACTTGGGCCAGTGAAGCAACATCCTCCACAACTAGACTGAAGAACAAAATGACAGCAACTTGTCTGTTCCCCTTCCCCCAATTCCCCAATTAAAAAAAAAAAAAGACATCTGAAGACTAAGCCCTGGGGCACCCCCACATAGAGAGGTCAGCTGAGGAGAAACCAACTATTCAAGAGGTGGCTAGTGGGCTGGCCAAGTGACGCGTTGGTTAAGAGTTGGCTTGGGACGCCAGCTCTGAGCAGCAAGGCCCCAGTTCGGATCCCACATTAGGGCCAGTGATGCTGCGCCCTCTATAGCTAAGATGGTGAACAACAGCTCGACCTGGAGCTGGTCTGCTGTGAGTTGCTGGTGACAGCGTAGGCTGCAGTGGGGCTGGCCAGCAGCTGGTGTGCACTTTCATGAGCTACAGGGAGCCGCTGTCAAATGGCCAGTGAGCGACCGCCTCACCTGGGAAGAGCGCAATGATAATACCAACATGGGCCAGTGAAGCGGTGTCCTCCACAACTAGACTGAAGAATAAAAGGACAGCAACTTGTCTGTTCCCCTTCCCTGATTCCCCAATATTTTTTAAGAAAAAGAGGTGGCCAGTGAGGAAGAGGAGAATCAAAAGAGAGTAGCAAAATGAAGTAAGTGTTCTAATGTCTAAGATACGATCATGGCATTGGGTATTGGAGGTCAAATAGAGGCCATGAACATTCCAACAGGTCAAGAAATGGGAATATTGGAAGGACTGTCTTTGTGGATATTTTAATCACCAAGAATACTGACAGTACTCACGTCAAAAATAGTGGCAATGAGCCAGGTGTGAAAAACCTTCAAAGGGTGAGGGGAAGGAGGAGCCACCAGAGGTTTACAGATACACTTCAGTGTGATGGCGCCAGCTTCCAAGTCAAGTCAAATAATTAGGAACGTTTTGGATGTTGGTAACATTAGGTTGGCCATTGAGTGTCGATATTCGACTACTTTTTAACCTACAAAAACGGCAATTTCATACGGTTCAACCTAGTATGTCTGAATTGTGGTTAGCTTCAAAAATACATTTAGGTTAGCATCACTTTCTTTTTTTAGTTGCAAACTCCCTGAGAGCAGGAATTCACGTTTTACGGCATATGTATCTTTCATAACACCTAATGATCTACTTGGTACTTTTAGTTGGTCATTTAGTACTTTTCATACATATATTATTACTATAATTGCTCTTGGTAACTTCTGTTGTCATTTCAGAATGATAATTCTTTTCCGTATCATTCCAAGTTGAGAAACAATTGAGAAATATACACAGTCATTAGATGGGTAGCAATATCAGCTTTATTGCTGATTAAGCTGGAATAGAGAAAACAGCTTGGACCTAAGGCCCAGATGGGGTCCCAACTCTTTCTCCTCTGGAATGAATTTATACACTCAGTCACTTGGCAAATGCAAACTGCTTCCCAAATGCACAGCCAGTTTCTAACGTGAAGGGAACTAAACTGAGGGCAGGGTAAGGCTGGGCTGGAGGGCAGCAGATCAAGCACTTGCAGAAGGTGCCATTCCTTGACTACCTACTTTCCACATCTCCCCGAGCCAGCCTTTCGTGATGCTTTCTACAGAGTCTTTGCAGCCATCACATTAACAAAGCATTTTAAAAATTTGTTGGAGAGGTGCCAATTTTGGAAGACGTGGTCAAAGGTGACTACTACATCCCCTACCACTCTTGTCATCCAGGGCTTGCTGCAGAGAGCTTATCACTGTGGGCAGGCAGGTCTGAATGAGAGCCAGAGAGGCCAGGTCACACGTGTGCAATAACCCTACCGGCTATTTACTAATTAGGTGTCACTCCTCCCCTAGGGAAACATGAATTGAGGGCATTGGAGAGAAAGGCGGAAGTTTACTCCCCATAATATCTAATGGTAGACCCAGGTTTTGTGAGGCCTGAAGCTTATACATTTGGATGGTCCTCTTTAAGGAAAAGGATTACAAGTATCAAGTTAGGTAGAAGGCTTGGAAGAGGTATGAGCAAGGAAGGTCTTGAAACTTAAGTGTTATAGCTTTACAATGAATCCCCCTCTGGTCTTGATATGGTAGAAATACCTATTTTAGCTTGTAGGTCTATTAAGATGCTCTCAGGTACAATAATTCAACTTGCAGGCAAACCAACTTGACCTAGCTTAAACAGTAAAGAAGAGTAGTGGCTCACGTTAATGAAGAGTCCAGTTTTGGGGCAGGATCTGTGATTGGTTGATCTAGCATCTTAACAATGTCATAATGACCCAGTTTCTTTCCATTTCTCTCCTCTGCGCTGTCCGCTGTATCCATTCATCCTTAGGTGGCTCCTTTCAAGTTTACTGCATGCATGTTGGCAGAAATGGGGACTGCTAGCTTACTCTTTCCTGTTAGAAAAGACAAGTGCCCCAATTACAGAGCAAAAGCCCTGAGCTTCAAACCACAGCATGTTGGATTCAAGAGTCCAAATGACTGAGACTGAAGTCAAGCACTGGGGCAAGAAGGATAGAGCAACCTTAAATGTCAGGCCAACCAGGGCCCACCTCCAGAGGTAAGACTAAAGATAAGGATATGGCTCATCCAAATCACATGGCTGCTACAGAATGGAGGAGTGGAATTGAGGTTGGTGAAACATCCACAATATTAAACCAGAGGTTAGAATATAGCATAATGAGCTAAGTGTATTGAACGTTTTCAAGATATTCATTTGAATTACAGTTTCCCTTCCATCTTCATTATTCGCTACCATGAGACCGAAAGCCCCAAGAGGGCAGGGATCATTTGTTGACTAATTGCCCAGCACCTAGAGTAAGTGTTCAACATTTATTTAGAGAATACATGAATTGACCACTTATGAGAAACTTATGAGAAACAGCTGGTTGCAGCATTATATAGGTAATTATAATGGTATATTTAAAATGAATCAATGCAGGAACACAAAGTCAAAACAACAAAAAGATTTAGAGATTATTGGATTTGAGCTGAGTTGACAAATAATTTTCAGGTTAGAATCATACACCTTATCAAAGACCATGGAAATGGGATAAATGGATGTTCAAACTCTAACATGTCAGAGATTCAATTAAGACATCAAACATGTTTCACAAAGAAACAAAGATAAGTTAAAAGTGAAGGATAATTAAGATAATTATTTTATGTTAACATAATATGCAGAGATAATTGGATTAAATGTGAGCACTAAATTTGTAGGTGTGTAGTGTAATACCTTGAGCTGAAGGTAATGATTCAACATATTTTTCTACAGAAAAGTAAAATATAAAGCAAGTGCTCTTAGTGTGATAAAGCTACTGGAGAAAGAGAATCATGGAATAATTCTGGTGACCTCTGATTTTTCCATTTTTTACAACTTTTATTCTCCTGAAAAGATGGGCAAAAATCTAAGTTTTGAAACTCAGATTATGTTTTAAAAATACTAAGGCTTTTAAAAAATTAAACAACTCATTGGCAAATACTCTGATAAACGTGTATTTTTAGAACTGAAATACTATCTCCATATTTCTTGATCTTCTGGAATAAATTTTTGAATATTTCGTTTTATAAATCAAGTCATACCTGTTCTGGGTAATGTGGTGTTATGTGTGGTAGATTTCATTTAGGGTGGGGTGATTTGATTGCAATGATTTTAAATCAAAGCTCCACCTCAGGAAGCTAGGAATGTTAGGTAGATTAGAAAAGGTCCTCAGCTTGCCAAGAACTTCAGCTATCCTGATAAACAATTTGATTACTAGTTGACTCTGGCATACTAAACAGGTTATCCAAGTCTTATACTTGATGCTTGCTGTGGGGGTAGTATTTGAACCACCCTTCCTGCCAACAGTCATTCGTTTATACATTTAAATACCATTTTCCATGAATATGTCAGTTATGCCACAAACCATGGCAAAGTTTCCTATGGCCACATGCCTTACCTTGGCTTTCTGTACATTTCTAGTATTGAAGAATGGAGTCGTTTTAAAAATGTATGTTTAAGAAAAAAAACGCATATAATGGTGTAATTTTAGGGTAGTATATTTAAATTTTCAATTAGCCTGAAAATAGAATCAATAGTATATAAAAGACCTTTTAAAGTTAAATGCGAAATTATATGAAAATTGTGCCTAAGAATATTATGCCTACTGACTTACGTTTTCTGCATAAAGGATCTGAGTTTGCCACACAACCTGGACACAATTAATACCCTTTCATAGAGGAAAAAAGATGTGTGGTGACGTTTAAAGTGCCCTCAGTAGTATTTAAGTTGAATGATCTTCAAACCAAATAGCTATTTTTATATATTAAAGGATGGGATTCCTCGACTGACAGTTATGGTAAGGTCCAAGATAATTTAACCTATTTACACATTACACATTTGCCCAGCTCTTTACAATGGCTCCTGATGGCCAATATCATCTGCCTTACCCTGCTTACCTCTTGGACTTCATCTGCTTCTTTTCTCCTCTTCCTTCTGCTCCACCCACATTGGCTTCCTTGCTTTAGCCCTATGCGCCAGGCACATTCTCACAGCTAAGCCTTTGCACCAGCTGCTCCCTGTCTGGAATACGCTTCCTTAGGCATCCACAAAACGACCTCTTTCACCTCCTTCAGAGCCCTGCTCAAAAGTCACTTTCTCAACAATGCCTATCCTAGCCATCTGATTTAACGTTGTGACTCGCCACACTCTTGATCTCCCCTTACTCTGCTTTTTCTCTATAACATCTATCACCTTCTAACATCCTATATAAATTTTATGTATGATGTTTCTCGTCCATTTCTCATCTAGATTGTAAACCTCCTGAGGGAAGAACGCTGTCTTTTTGGATCTCTGCTTACCCTCAGTGTCTGAAGAAACGCTTGACTCATGGTAGGTCGACAGTCAATATATTTTGAAATAATGAATATTTCTATGGTCAGCTTGCTTACTGTATAATTGGGAACCACTTTAATCATATGATATGTTTCAAAATTCAAACTTCCTCCTCCAAAAGGAACGCTGTCATCTACCAAAACAAAACAAAAAAAGTCTAGAAAAGAAACCCCAAACATCAAATTCTCATTTCCTAATCTCCAATCAGATTATTTTTCTAAGGAAGCAATCAATACAAATGGGTGAAATTGCAATTACACACACACACACACACACACACACACACACACACACTCACACAAAATAAATATATGAAGATGTTGATGACAGTATTCTCGGTTTTATAAAAACATTTAAAAACGCTAGTTGGAATGTCAAAGAGACTCAACCAGAAAGTGGAACCCAGAGAATAGAATTTCCTGTTGGACTTTTAAGTAACTCATCTTACTAGCGATAAGCTTCCATAGACAGCACGAATACCAAGCAAACACATCTGTAAATTGACTTGTTTTTCAGGTAAAGCTACCCTCCTCCCAGGTTTAGCTCAAATCTGATAACCTAAATCCGTTCACAGTTAGGTGAAAACACAGTTAGGTGAGGAAGGTTTGCAGTTCTACCTGGTCCTTCCACCTGTGTCTAAGCGCAAGTAACTGAAGCCAAATCCTGTGATTTGTCAGCTCTGCTGTGAAAGCCTAAATGGGTAATTCATAGCCTGAGGGGTTCGTGGGGGTTAGGTTATCCCCGCTCCCGGCCCTGACATTTCTGGCCTGCTCTCCTCAGAGGACAAAGATGGGTAGGGGTCGCGTTTTGAGGCTCGTAAGTTGGGTCCGTTTCGTGGGCAATTCGGTCCCGAGTGGCTTGAGCGCAGACCGCCCTGGGCAGCCTGGGGACGCTACACACAAGGCATTAGGCCTGGAGAGGAGCGGGATCTCCCGCCTTCGTGTCACCAGGCCGGAACACGACGAGGCCTCCACCTTCGAGCCAGGCGTTGCACGGGGCTGCGCGGAGCTCCGCAGGGCAAGACCGGGGAACGAAGTTCCTCCGCCGCACCCGCCGGGGCGGGGCTTTGGCTCGGCCCAACCACTGCCTGCGAGGAGGGGGGTATCTGACCAACAGCATGGCCCTAACGCGAGCGCTGACTCCCATCCTGCAGGTCCCTCTTGCAGGCTTCTCCTGCATCCCGGGAGGCTCCTTGCTGTCTTTCCGCGATACCTAAAAGCCCTGTCCTCTCCTTCCCGGGCCGTCTCCTTGGCGCCCTGCTCACCTCCCTACCTCGTATGGTGTGGTCCTGGTCGCTGGTCACGCGGTGGCGGGGGCGCGGCTTGCTCAGAGCCCTGGAGGTTCCTCTCGCGGTCCGTGCAAGCGTGTTGGAGCGGCGTTGGCGGCTGGGAACGATGCTGGGCCGGAGTCTCCTAACCTTGGTCCTCCTGACCGTGGCCGTCACCTGCGCCACGGCGCAGCACGCGCCGCCGGTGGGTGAGCTCGAGCCGAGGGCGCGGAGAGGGGTATACAGGCGCCGGGGGGACGCAGGTGCAGGCATGGCAGGGCGGGGGTGGAGGGTGGCGTAGGGAACAGCTGGTCCTCGCAGCATCTTTACTGGGGTCTGTGGTTACCTGCGCGGGAGTGTGGTTAAACCCCACCCCGGCCTGACTCAGTACATCAGTAACAAGAAAACCTTTTAGGAATCCTAATCTCTGCAGAATGGTGGTTGTGATTTACACCCGCAAATTTAAGGGATTACACTTGTTCTACCAGTTCCAGCCTTGTGCATCCTGAACTGCTTCCTCTCGACTCGTGTACATTACTCAAGCGACTGCTTGATGACTTTGGCATTCTCTGCCTGGTGACGAGGTGCCGAAGAAGTTGCAGCTAAGGATCCGAGGGCCCTGGGAAACGCTAAGGCGCCCCCAGGCAAGGCAGTGGGAGCAGCCCAGACAGGCCCCATGTGGTTGCTGTTGCCTTCGCCCCGAGTCATGTGAACGTCCTGTCCCATGGCTATTTCTCCATGTGAACGCCGGTCCCGTGGCTCTTTCCCCGCAAGGAAGTCCCAGGAACACAGACTTGATAACTGCAAGAGGCAGAAAGAGGGACCAGCCTGACTCTATTTTACAAAGGAGGAAGTGGACTGGGTGAGAAAATGTCTAGCCAGAGGTCACACTTTTGTTTACTGCAGCATTTCTAAACTCAAGCCTCTTGACGCCCAGTCTGGTGCTCTTTGCTAATTTTCTTCTTCGCAAGTAACGAGACTACATTTTTGTCAGCTGATCAGATAAATAGGAACTTGGCCGTTTCTGACCTGAGACTAGATGGGAATAACCTTGAATAGTTTAAGTAGAATATTGACAACTGTGGGAGCAAGATGAGCTTTTTCCTATTCTTTTATTTCTCTAAGGAGAACTGCTTTAAGAATAAAATGGTGGAATGGTATACAGCCATTATAAGTTGATATAATACAAAATAGTATGTATACAGTTGATTTCAGTAACAAAAATGCACAGTATATACATGTAGACAAGGATTGGAAGGATATAAGGAAAAATAAAATTAGTTTGCTTTAGTGTGGGTAGGGAATACTTTGATATGATCAATGCCCTTCAGGCAAATCCACCAGGAAACACACTTGTAATTGAACAATTATTACTCATTGTGGTGAGGGAGAATACACTCTGGCCAACTGTGGGGTCTCTCAATAAAGGGCATTAGGAAAAACCCATTTCATAATTAGGATTTTGGTTGTGTGATTTGGAGGTAGGTCTAAGGAATCAAGGGTTTGCTCTAGGTTGAATGCTTTTAGAAAGTGGCACAATTCTATGATTGGGTAAAAAAGAAACAGTCATTCATTTATCAGGAGAAGGGAGTGTTTGATATTTTGTGGGTTGCACAGTACCCTTGTTTTGTCTGTGTTTAGACAGAATCATGAGTGGCCTTGCTTTGTCTAATTTTATCTTGTCTCAGAGTAAGCTTAACTGAGGTAGGTATTCTGTGAGATTGGTCATATCCAACAGGAGAGCAGAAATGGCCTGGCTGTGAATGTCAGACCAACTTGTGATAATATTGAGGCCTAGTTGAGAACCTCAAAGAAGTTATAGATGTCAGGGGATGCTTTTTCTTTTTTCTCAATACTTTGCTTTTTCAAGCAAAAGTACTTTAAAGGCTGTTTTTAGAACAAGAAGAATCAACAGTCTCCATGAATTTACTAAGTCTTATCTAGAGCAGTAGTTGTCAATATCTAGTCCAGCTACTGGTGGTGTCAGTTTGGGAAACTGCTTTCACAAGTCTTTAATGAAATGAGAAAAATGAGGGCATAAAATTAAAATTATTAAGTTAGAATGTTAGCTTTTATTTTGATTTTATTACATTCCAATTTTTGTTGTTAAAGTGTTCTTTTTTTTATGTGTATGGGTTTTTGTTTTGTTTTAACATCTTCACTTGGGAGAATAAAAATTTGTACTCCCCTGTGCTGGGCCCCTCTTAATGTTTTTACTGATCTGGAAAATTCTGGGAGCCTCTGGCTGAAAGGATTCTTGATACCACACAGAAATTTAGTAACCTCAGGCTCTGACAAAATAAGCACTTTTTCACCTTGAATCATTTAATGTGATGAATTGTTTGTAGCCACACAGTAACAAAAGATATTTCAAAACTACTTCTGATAAATGAATAACAAAAACCAGCTTTAAATTACAAACAAAAGGCATTTGATTTGGAATGTCTGTGGGTTTTGTTTCATTTTGTTTTTGAGGCTTTTCAGAATATGGCATATTTTAAGGTCTTTCTGAGTCATTCTTGACTATTGATTCTATGCAAAGACCTATTCGGTGATGGTCGTGACCAGAGTGGCACAAGAAAAGTCTGGAGAGGGAGATGGAGATGGTGTCATCAAGGGCTCTGTAGACCTTGTTAAGGATTTTGAAGTCTATCCTAAAAACTGTGGGAAGCCATTGGATGGTTTTAAACACGATATGACAAGATACATTTTTCGCTTTGAAAAGATCACTTTGGATTGGAATGGAGCAAAGACACCGTGCAGTCCAGGGGAGAAAACAGGGTGACTTACAGGAGCATAATGCCAGTGCGGAAGGAGAGCAGTGGATGGTTCTAGAGAAAATTAGGTCGAATGAGCAGAACGAAGGATTGGATGAGGATGAGAGATAGGCACCTTTCGGGTGCTCAGCTGGGCGAATGGTGGCATCACTCCCAGGGAACATGTGGAGGGAAGAGTTTGAGGGTGGAAGATTGAAGATCATTTTCATTCTGGTTATGTTGAATTTCAGGTGGCACTGAGGCCTTTGGGACTGGAGCTCAGAAGAGAGCTATTTGGAGTCTTAGGCATATTATTTGAAGCCATTGCAGCAGGTGTACGTGATCAGATAGAGGATATAAAAAGAGAACAAAAGAAGAGGCCCAGGCAAAGGCCAAGGGACCCACACATGCATGTGTCATTCAGGTAGAGAAGAACTGAGAAAATAGCAGCCAGAATGGGAAAGTGAGTGCTGCGAAAGCTCAGAGAGATTAGGACAGGTTATCAATGTTGAATGTCATTGAGACTTCTAGTGTCTGTTGTGCTTGACAGCCGGAGGGCCTTGGTCACCTTGGCCAGAGCAGTGTTGGAAGAAGGTACTAGATGTCAGCAGGCTGAGGAGTGATCAGAAGGAAAGTAATCAGAGCAGGAGAGATGACTATTCTCAGTAATAAAGCTGAGCAGATTTCTAAAATGTGTGAAAATGAAACATAATGGCTCAGGAATTAATTGCTGAATTGAAATTATTTTTATACATCATCTTCTCATATGAGTAGTAACATTGTTGACATTAGCTACTGAAATCATTTTAGCAATGATTTCCACAAAGTTTCCAAAATCACATAAACCCGATCTGGCCTGTCCACTTTTATTAGAGTGCATCTGCTTTTCCCTAGTTCTCCAAAGGAAGGAACACACTAGTATAATCTGTTCACTCAGTCAACAAATTTTGCATGCATTCTGTGTTCAAGACTCTGTTCCAGATGCTGGGAATGGGTTGGTGAAAAATACAGAAAGGTCCCTGTCCTCATGGAAGGTTTATTCATATTCCTTTTACCTAAATATTCCTAGTTTAATAGGGTGATACCCCATCAAAGTTCAGAAAACAAATGAAAACATTTGCGTGTTGAATTGAACGTTATATTTGCAAGAAACATGCCCTTTCTTATTCAGTAGGTATGTATCTACTCTGTTGTACATAGAGAACATTTTAAGACAAATCTTATTTAGAAAATAGTTGTTGAATTAAAGTATTGAATTAAAATTTTTTTGTTAGAATTGTTCAGCTTTTCTGATGGTATAAACACTGGTGAATGCTATGTATTGGGTTGTCGGAAAAGTCATGACGCATTTTTGCAATGAAAAACAGAAAAAATACGTCATGACTTTTCCGACAGCCCAGTAATTTCTTTAACCCTCCATCAGGCGCGATGCAAAAGTTACGAGTTCGGGCGCAGTGCATCTATTGGGTTGTCGGAAAAGTCATGACGCATGTTTGCAGCAGATGGAACTAGTTCATTTTTGGAAGTACTGGAGTCATTTGTATCTATGTTATTGTTATGTCATTTGACAGCTGACAGTTCTAGCTTCATTCTAAAAAAAATTGAGCGATTTGGTTGAGTTTTGGAGATTTTACAACAAGTTGAAGATAGAAGACCAAACTCTGCGTTTTCGCCATATTTTATTGTTTAACTTCCATAAAGGGAAGAACGCGCATCAAGCTTGTGAAAAGTTGCGTCAAGTTTACGGTGACAATGCTCTACAAGAACGTCAGTGTCAACGATGGTTCATGAAATTCCGTGCTGGTGATTTTGATCTCAATGATGCTCCTCGGTCAGGGAGGCCCACCGAGGTTGATGACAACAAAATAAAGGCATTGATCGAATCAGATGCATGTTACACAACACGAGAGATTGCAGAAACATTGAACTTCTATCATTCAAGCGCTCACGACCACCTGAAGAAGCTGGGATACATAAGCAAGCTCGATATTTGGGTTCCACATGAACTCAAAGAAGTTCATTTGACGGCGCATATAAATATCTGAAATATGCTCACTAAACGTGAGCAAAACGATCCTTTTTTGAAGCGACTGATAACTGGTGATGAGAAGTGGATTGTTTACAACAATGTGGTGCACGAACAGTCTTGGTCCCGACGTGATGATTGGCCTCAAACGACATTGAAAGCAGACATTCATCAGAGGAAGGTTATGCTCTCAGTGTGGTGGGATTTTATTTTATTTTATTTAAATTATTATTATTATTATTATTTTCTCTTTTTAGCTGAGCCATCCTTCCACCTGTTGGCAGCTTAGCAGCAGCTCAGCTCGGGCTGTGAATCAAACTGGGGACCCTGTTGCTCAGAGCTCAAACTCTTGAGCGAGCTCTTAACCAACTGAGCCACTCGGCTGGCCCTGTGGTGGGATTTTAAAGGTGTTGTGTTTTTTGA